TGGGATGCATGCTGTCCGTGGGTGGTTCTGGAACGCACAATTTGGACGTGGAGTATCATCTGACATCCGCAAGCAAAGCTTTCTTTGCAAACAGGGACATTCTTTGCGACCGGAATGTTTCTCTCGCTGCCCGGCTTGAGTTTTTCAGCCGCGTCGTGACGTCAGTGGCGTGCTTCGGAGCTGGTGTCTGGAAGCCGTACAGCGATTCACTGCACGGGGTAGACGTTGCACTCCGGCGTCTGATGCGGCAGGTCGTTGGCCCGCCTGCAGGCGTGGATTGGTCCCAACCGTGGCATGATACTCTGCACTTATGGCACGAACAGCTCAGCCAAGCATTGGCGGAACATGGTCCTCGCACGTGGTCGAGAGAGTCCATGAAAAAAGTATTGGGATCTGGCAGCGTACGTTGCGGGTTTACCTCTTGATCGGTGGGTGCAGAGAGCCTTGCATTGGACGCCGTCGGGATCACGCTCACAGGGTCGTCCTCTTCTGTCATGGGACGCGAAGCTATCCTCGTTCTGCCGGGCGAACCACATCGGACCGTGGCAAGAAGCTGCACAATATTACTCAGCATGGGTGGAAATGACAGAAGATTTCCTGGACTCCTGCACGTCGACGTGAGCAGGCGCGATGCTTCCTTTGCGCACCAGGCCTGAGCAGTGACTGGCATTTGATTTTTTCCCTCGCGCCCTATATGGGCCCGCCCTCGTGCGAGCGGGGTGACTTGACTTGACTTCCAGGCTGGTAAAAGGTCGGCCGAAAAAGGCAAAGACACCGCCCCACCTATGACGAACCAGCAACGCACACCCATACCCATAGGGGGGTCGGAGAGGGCCATGGGTGCGTGTTGTCGGATGGGGGTCCCCGCTGGAGCGGGAGCGCCCCCCAAGGTCCGACAACCCGCACCCATACCCATAGCCAGTCCTCCTCCCAACGACCTCCCTATGGGTATGTGTGTGTGTGTTGTTCGTTCGTCAACCTACGGCCTTCCATTCTGCGCTGCGGGCCCTTGGGGGGCCGCAGCGCATGCCACGCGAAAGCACACGAAAGGCCACGCCTGATTTCGTGGCAAGCGCGGAGCACCGTGGGGCCGTAGGCGGGGTGGAGCTGTTTGTTTTCCACGAGGCAGAATCCACTATTTGTACATTAGTTTTCAGCGGATTTTGGCGATCTCTCCGATTTCAGCGTCCGACCGCCCAAGGCGGCCCAAGAGGCCCCCAAGATCGCCCCAATGTGGTCTAAGAGGCCCCCGAGGCGGCCAAGTGGGGCCCCAACACGTGAAGGTGGCGGAGGTGGAATCCAGGCCTCCTATATGGGGTCCGAGCAGGGCCCCACTGGAAAAAAGGATGAGGAAGGAGGAGCCTCGAGGAAGGGAGCCTGGAACCTCGCGGGAGGAAAAAGGAGCGGCCGACGCGGAGCACATCCAGGTGCAAGCTCCAGGCCTCCCGGTGGCCTCAAGGCCTTCCGAGTGGGCTGCAGGCCTCCTCAGCGGGGTCGGAGGATCGCGCCGCATCGCCGATGCGGATCGATGTGGGGCTCGATATTCACTTCATTCTGGCGTCGCCGATGCATTTCCGACGTCCCTGCAGCGGTATTTGCTGTAGCCGTAGTATGGGGATGACAGTGACGAGTTGATTACGATTAGATGCTGATGAGGGTGACGACCATGATACCAATATGATGACGTGATGGTGCTGATTATGATGCTGATGATGACGATGCGGTTTCTGATGATGATGATGATTATGATGATTATGGTGGTGGTGATGGTGATGCTGATGATGATGATTATGATGATGGTGATGGTGGTTGTGATGCTGGTGGTGATGAGGACGACGTTGATTATGATGTTGGTGATGGTGATGGTGGAGATGATGACGAGACGTGGTGATGGCGGCGACGACGAGAGTGAACATGATGAGGTTGATGAAGAAGGTTGCAATAACGACTGCGACGATGACGTTTGTTGTGACGGCAATTGGTGTTGACATGACGTTGATGAGGATTATGATGACGATGTCAGTGACGATGACGATGATAATAATGTTGATGCTGATTATGCTGTTGTTGATGGTGATGACGATGACGACGACGACTTCGCCGACGTCGGCGACGATGCCGATGACGATGCTGATGATGCTGATGATGAGGATGATTGATGGGGTGGTGATGATGATGATGACGATGCGGATGACGACTACGATTGTGTTGTTGTTGGTGATGATGATGGTGGTGTTGACGATGGTGATGTCAATTATGCTGATGATGCTGATGATGATGATGCTGATGATGGTGATGACTATGAAGGTGCTGATTCTGATGATGATGATGCTAATGATGATGATGCTGATCTGGTGGGTCTGATGGGGATGCAGATGAGCTGCTGCTGCTGGTGATGATCACGCTGATGATGATGATGATGATGCTGCGGTTGTGATGATGATATTGATGTTGATGATGACGTTTCTGATGATGACCCTGATGGTGATGATGATGACATTGATGATGATGATGCTGATGATGACGATGATGATGATGATGATGATGATGATAGTGATGATGGTAATGATGGTGGTTGTTTGTGATGATGCTGATGATTATGATGATGATGATTATGATGTTGATGCGGATTGACGATGATGGTGATGTTGGTGATGTCGAGGACGATTCTGACGACGATGATGATAGTGATGATGATGATGCTGATGATGATGATGCTGGTGGTGATGATGATGATGAGGATGAGATGCAAGGTGATGTCGATGATCTTGTTGTTGGTGGTGATGCCAGAGACTGAGAATGCGAAGGGGTGCTAGAGATAGGAAGGATGAAGAGGATGTGCCGGTTTTGATAAGGGGTCAAGGTCAATGCTTGTCTGCAAGCTGGGTCAGTCTTCTTTTATCCGGCGCCGCTCGAACGGTCGCTTCCTCATATTCGTCATGCTCTTCTTCATTCTCGTCATACTCTCAACGTTATTCCCATCCGTTACCAGCTCTTCCTCCTTATCCTGCTCCTGCTTCTTCCTGTCACCTCATCCTCATCCTCCTGCCCCCCCAACGCAGTTTTTCTCCACTTCATGTTCTCCGTCCTTATCCCCCTCCAATCTCGTCAATCCTCCCTCCTCCATCTCCTCCCCCTCCTCCAACCCTCTTTACAGGCAGCCCGCATGGTAAGGATGAGTGAGCGACTTTCCAAGGTTACCATTGCATCCTTCCCCTTTGGCCCCTTCCCCGGCCGCTTTCGCTGGCCGCGCCCCGCCCGCAAAGTGCCGACACGGCCTTCAGGGCCCTTGCATCCTTATCGTGCGTCCTTCTTATACGGGTTGACTGTATCCTCATTCGCCCTCCTCAACCCTCTTTCCGCCATCCCCCCGCTCCCCAAAACCCTTCCTTTCTCCTACTCCTGCCCATTCTCCCCGTCGGCACGCCCGTAGGCTTTTCCGAGGAGCTTCGGCCTGGATGCCGCGTCACGCTGCACGGCCTGGCCGTGTCCACCGAGCTCAACGGCGCGGAGGCCACCTGCGTCGAGTGGTCAGCGGGCGCGGGGAACATCGGAGGACAACGACATCGGTGGCGGCGGCGGTGGTGGTTTGCGATGGTGGTGATGATGACGACGTTGAGGCTGATGATGGGGATGCTCGTGGTAGTGATCGTGTTTATGATACTGACGATGATGATAATGATGATGATGCTGCGGATGATGGTGATGATACTGATGACAACGATGATGATGACGAAGATGAGGAGGATGATGCTGATGCTGTTGGTCATGATGCGGATGATGATGCCGATGCTGATAATGTTGATGACGATGATGTTGATGATGCTGACGATGATGCTTGTGATGCTGATGATGATGGTGATGATGCTTATGAGGATGATGATAATGATGCCGATGATGCTGCTGATGATGCATATTACTATGATGATGCTTATGAGGATCATGATGCTGACGCTGCTGACGATGATGCTGATGACGACCGACGATGGTACTGACGACGTTTATGGTGATGCTGAGGTCGTTTGTAATGGTGGTAACCACGGCGTTGAGGATGGGAGAAGGAAGAAGGGAGGAGGGAGGGAGGAGGAGGGAGGAGAAAGGAGGAGGTTTGTAATGGTGGTAACCACGGCGTTGAGGATGGGAGAAGGAAGAAGGGAGGAGGGAGGGAGGAGGAGGGAGGAGAAAGGAGAGGGAATTGAGGATGGAGAGCGGGAGATTGACGATGATGGGGGAGGAGGAGGGAGGATGGAGGGGGAGGAAGCGGGAGGAGGAGGGAGGAGGGAGGGAGGAGAAGGGAGGAGGGAGGAGAGAGTGAGGAGGAGGAGAGAAGGAGGATATGGGATTGGGGGATGAGTGGGAGGGATGAGGTAGGAAGGGGAGGGGAGGAGGATGGAAGAGGAGTGGAGGAGGACAAGGGAGGAAGGAGGGTGGAGGCCGGGCGAGGAGGGAGGAGATGAGTAGGAGGGAAACAATAGATGGAGGAGTGATGAGGAGGGAGGAGGAGGGTGGGATGGGGATGGAGGACGCGGGAGGTAACGAGGATGAGGGAGGAGGTGGGATTGATGAGGAGGAGGAGGATTAGGAGAGGAAGGAGGAGGAGGAGGCGGATGAGGAGCTGAGGAGGAGGAGAGGAGGGAGGAGAGGATGGGGCGGGGGAAAGGATGGAGAGGGAGAGGAAGAGGGGAGGAGGAGGAGGGAGGACTGAGAAGGGAGGAGGAGGGTAGGGAGGATGGAGGGACGGAAGGATAGAAGAGGAGGGAGCGGGAAGGGAGGTGATGGGGGAGGACGGAAGGGGAGGGAGGCGGGAGGAGGGAGGCGCGAGGCGGGAAGCGGATGTGGGTGGAGGGAGTGAGAGAGACAGTAGGGATGGAGGGAGGGTGAGGATGGAGGAGGGAGCAGGCAGCAGGGAAGGGTAGGAAGGAGGGATCTAAGGGAGGAGGCGGGACAGGAGGATGAGGAGGAGTGAGGAGGGGAGGAGAGATGAAGAGGCGAGGCGGAGGCGAGGCGAGGCGATAGGCGGAGGCGGAGATGAGGTAGGAGAAGGAGCAGGACAAGGGGGAGGAGGAGGAGTAGTAGAGGAGAGGAGGTGAGGAGGAGGGGAGAGGAGGAGGAGGGAAGGAGGAGGGGGGAGGAGGAGGAGGGAGGAGGAGGAGGGAGCAGCAGCAGGAGGAGGAGGAGGAGGAGGAGGAGGAGGAGGAGGAGGAGGAGGAATAGGGGGCAGGGGAGGGACGAGCGCGAGCAGCGCTGGACGGTGGAGCTCGCCAACAAGGAGCTTCGGGCCGTGAAGCGCGAGAACGTGCGCAGTCAGCAGGCGCGGCGGGCCCGCGCAACAGCTCTGCGACCACTCGGACGACGCAAAAACAAACAACGGGTTTGACCGCGCAGACATCGTGATCGTCTTCTTATTCCTTGTTTTGCCGATCGGCCCGGGCCCTCGCAACCCCCCTCCCGCCCTCCATGGAGTAGCTCTTGGCAGTTTTGTTGGCGCCTGTTTCGAGCGGGTGGAGTCTCCCCCATAGGACGCACTGATGCAAACAGTCGCACTAAGCAGAGGTCTGGAGCCAGACCCCCCCCTCTCACCCCCTTCCGCCCAATGTCGAGATGCCCAATAAGAAAACGGTCACTATTCGGACGACGCAAAAGAACAACCGGTTCGATCGCGCGGACAGTTCGCGCGTGCGCTTCCCGCGTGAGGTCGCGCGTCAGCGCCCCCTCTCCAATGGCAGCGTTCCGCGCGGGCGGCCTGCGTAGCCCACCGCACGAGTTCGCAATGTCAGCTTGCGTACGATGCGTTATTTTCGACTTCTTACTTGCGAACCACTAACCTTACGGGTCCAATCGACGCTGGGGTATCGAGCACCTCCGCTGGGGTTCACTTTGCGGCAGTCATCCTTCAAATTCAGAACCCTACCCAGTTTCTTCAGGAATCTACGGTTCACGTGCGTTTGCCAACGAGCCCAATGTCCAGGGACAGTTCTCTGACCCAGTGTCAGTGCCAGTGGAACCGCCGCGACATTCTGGGCAGAACACACCCTGGGAGAGGCCCCGGGAGTAGCGGCATCGGTGCTTTTTTTACGCCCCCCACGAAATGCACGAACATCATACACACTTTCGGAGCTCCGCGCGGAGCTTTCTTGGATCGGCGTGGAGGGCCGCACGCCGTCGAGGCGCGCCGAGAAGTCCGCGCGGGCCTCCCGAAGTTTGTGTGTTCATGCCGTTTCTTCTTCCGATCCGCGGCGAGCCAGGGGGGTCTAGGTCTCCTAGATGGAGTCGGGGTGGATGGGGTCGGAGGATCGCGCCGCATCGCCGATGCATCGCCGATGCAGCCCGATTTCCTTCAAATCGACGTCGCCGATGCATCGCCCACGTCGACGCCTCATCGCCGGTGCATCGCCGATGCATCGCCGATGCATCGCCGATGTATCGCCGATGTATCGGCGATGCGGCGCGGTCCTCCGACCCCACCCACTCCGACCCCATCTAGGAGCCCTCTAGGGGGGAATCAAAGGAGAAAACATTGTAAACATAAACTTTTTGGCGCTCCGCGCGGGGCGCCACCAGTTTACGGTCGGCCCGGATTAGCAGGTCGACCCTGCCGAATCAAGGGTATTGTTGTGTCTTGTGTCTCGCGACCCGTGCCTCCTGCATTCCTAATTATGGCAATGTGGCACTCGGAAGGGTCTTTTGTCCTCTCGCGAGTCCTGTCCAATGAAGTCCAACTGTATGCAGTTTGTTATTCTAGGGAAGCGAGAAGGGGCGGGTCTTGTCAAAAGGCTCGGAAGCCTCCCAGCTTTCTGAGAAGCTTTCCAAGCTTCCCCCAAGAAGCCATGCAAACACCTGTCAGGAAGCTGGAGGGCATCTGAGAAGTCCCGCCGCCTTCTGGGAGTTCCTTCTCCTTCTCCCTTCCCCCCTGCTCGCCGCCGGCTTATGCTCTTCAAGAGGCTATCGCCATTCCGCCGACCCCCAGAAGAGGCGGGGAGTCCACGGTTGAGGCGTCGTGGGCTTCTGGAACATTACCTGGGGACCCTTGTGGGCGTCTTTGGAGCTCTTTGGGGGCCTCCTGGCAGAGCCTATTGGAGGCATTTTGGACGCATGTGGGAAACTATGGGAAGTGGGAGGGAAGACAAACACCGAGAGAGCATGGGAGAACATGGGGAATCCTGGGATTTGTGTGTACTTCTTTGCGTGTCCTTGGGCCCCTTCCTGTTGGTATGGGGCCACATGCGAGCCCTACCCCTACCCCCCACGATTTCTGAGTGGAGGGTGGGGTTCACTTCACTATCCACTCGGGAGCTCCAGAGCGAAGTGAACCCCACCCTCCCCCTCAGAAATCGTGGGGGGGTAGGGGTAAGGTTCGCATGTGGCCCCCCAGTTGGGCCTCGTTTGGGTGCCTCGTAGGGCTTCATAAGGGGGCCTCTTTGGGGGCCTTTGGGAGGCCTCCTGAGGACCAGGACAGGAGCAGCACCGCGGCGGCCAGGGCCAGAGCCTCCTTTATCCCTC